GGGGACAGAAGAGGCAGAAACCTGGGAGGGGGGCAGAAGAGGGAAGAAACTTGGGAGGGAACAGGGGAGGTAGGTAAGTACAGGGGGAAGGGTGAACCTCTACACTTGTTACAGAGCCAGTGAGAGGGGAAGAACCCAGTACAGAGACAGGGAAGGTAAAATGAGGAGGTGGAAGAAGGAAGGAGGGGTTAAAGGACCTTTTTTTGACTTCTGAGAAGTAAGGGACGATTGGGAGGAGGTGTCGTACGAGGTCTCATCAATACTAAAGGCTGGTGAGGGGAGAACACGAAGAAGCGAGAACAGACTGAGGCATTGAAGTAGGGACGTCTGAGCCTAGGACAGCAAAAGAATTAGATACAGGAGTGACTATGGGAGAGGAAAACCACAGAGGAGGCTGCAGAAGATGAGACCCCAGAAGTGGGAGGACGTTTTGAAACATGGGAATGAGAAACACGAGGTAGTCTCCCTTGGAGGCGGAGATGAGAAACTTCCATGGCATAAGGGAGACCTGCTTCTTTGAGGTAAGGGATTTCCCGCTCATTTAAGTAGACTTGGCTACGGCGAAAAGTAATGAAGGGCGAGCCTCATGACAATTAAGGCAAAAGGAGATCGATTGCAAGACGAAATTAGAATGGTAAATGGGTACCACAGACTGGGCATTCGGCTATGGATCTGCAATAATTTCGCTGGATGGCCAAATCGCCATCAATTTCTACTGTTGTGGTGTAGGGATCACCTTTCGAACTGTAACCGATGTCCTGCTACATAAACTGAGGATGGGAGTTCATGGCTGTCAAAAGTTAAACGAGCCACATTGCTAGGAAAATCGTCTCCGCCCGCAGGCAGGAAGAACATAAGTGTCTCCCTTTGAGGATTGGGAGATCTTGGAGTTCCAGCGTTCAAGAATGTCATTGCCACATGTCTGGAAATTTTGTTGAACTATGGTATGGGGCAGAATGACAGTACCACTACAAGAATTGAGGGAATGATGTTTTTCAATAGTGACAGGAACAGTATCTATATGGGAAAGAAGAGAAAGATCATGAGCTTGGGTAGCATTCTGTACAGTGATGATGCGCGTACCGCTCTTAAGAGCATGAAAAGAAATATCTTTACCAACGTGGCGTAGGAGTGCCTTGCCAATACTGTGGTCGGAAAGATAGGCGGTAGAGGAAGTCAGTCATAAAGTGAAGAATTTAGTCCATGGTGCAGTCTGAAACTGAGCGTGGAAAGAGAGTGCAGGATGTGTCAATCTTTTCTGAGAAGAACGAGAAGGTGGAGAAGTATCATCAGCAGGTAATTGTCGTTGGCGTTTAGGCGTGGGACCAGAGTTGGTCCGATGTGGAACGGGCCGTCGATTCGAAAATTGCCGCACCATAGAGGAAGAGGCCGGAAGCATAGTCAAAAGGAGAGCGGAGGTCAGATAAATCAAAGGAGTCAGTCGAGACCTCAGTACCTGAAGCGGGTGAGGAAACAGCACCAGCAAGAGGTACAGAGGCATGAGGAGTGTCCGAAGAGTGATCCAAAGATGAGGCAGGGTCAGAATGGGGTGCGGTATCAAGAAGGGGCCCGGGGGTAGCAGGTTCATGGATTGGGTCCTCCATGGTTAGGTTACTTCTTTCTTTTTGTTTTTAAGAAAAAAAGAAAGAAAAGAAAAGAAAAATAAAAAAAGAATAAAAAAAAGGGGGGACCGGGGAGGGATAGTTCCTAGGAGGAATGAAAGGGCCAGAAATCTCCCTCCGCGCCCAAGAGACCTCAGCAAACCCCAAGTAGCGTTTGATGCAGCAGGAACCCGTGCCATACCCTACCCATCATGCCAGTAACCACAAACCGGGATAGCAACCTCACATCTGCCGAGCTACCTTGGTGGACAAAAGAGAGGGCGGCCGGATATCCGCCACAAAGCATACCTCCTTCGGCCACCACCCCTGGAATCCGAAAGGTGGCTTCCAGAGATACGCCCATCGCCCGAAAGACACCCAAAGCCACTCTCCGGGATACTGGAGAGGGATCGGACAAACCCCAGGCGATCCAGATTCCACGGCCCAAAATACGCCACCCCCCAAGAACCTCAACGGAATGGGATGGACCCCGGTACCCTTTCCCCTACCTAGGAACTAGTGCACCTGTGGGAAAAATCCCAAAGGCCAAAAAGAGGAAGGGCAAAAGGGAGGGGTGGGGAGGGGGAGGAGGAAAGGGAAAAGGGAGATGATGGGATAGGGAAGGGGGGATTGGGGGGTAATTAGGTTCGGTCTGAGGAAGGAGACCAACAGGTCTAATTCTTCAGACCAAGAGCCTCTTCACCACTCCAAGGAGCTCCCCTTGAAGAGGACATTATGAAATAAATGAAGAGATTTAATGTACCATGAATGAAATGAAAACACAGCATCAAGATCATGACATTTGTAAAGCTGACAACTTTCAATCATTGTTTTTTTTTTATGTCCTTTTAATCCCCATCTTTAGACTCTTAGTTACTTTCCTTATCAGTTCCCCTTTTTCTGCACATTGTGCAGCTCAGGACCTATACATCTCTACCCTTTCTGGACTACTTTCAAGCTGTCTTGGAGCATTCAGGATCAATGGCAACGCAGCTTGTCTGGATTAGAAAATAAGTTGCTACTGGTAAAACCACAACTGAGTTCTTGAGTTGCACATGGAAAATAGTTCTCATGTGACTTCATATTGATAATACAAGATGCATAGCTATCACATGGAGAATTGCTACTTGACTTGTTTTCCTGGCAACCACGTCAACTATTTATGAAATGAGCCTGGCCTACTAAATCCTTGGCTTGTATCCTGAAGCTCACATGACCAGCTCAGTGTTCCTCAGCCCATTTGTGCAATTCACTGTCATGCCACATCTATATCCTTCCCAGGATAATCTCATGGTTAGACTCCAGGTTCTTCATGCAATTCTAGAATACATGACACCACTAAAGAGATCATGCAAACAAACCATACCACGGGTGAGGTTCAAACCCCACGGGTGGGGTTTGAACCTCACCCGTGGTATGGTTTGTTTGCAACCATGTCATTACGATTTCATGAGTCGAGTCATGATGCTGATTTTGTTCTACATTTCCATCCCCTACAGAGGTAAAGTTTGGCACCTTTTGGCACTGCAAAAAAAGTGAGCAATCCTTAGCTATGACTCACGAAATCGTAATGACACGATTGCAAACAAACCATACCCCGGCCGGGATTGAACCCGCGGTCAGAGAGTCTCAAAACTCCAGCCCGTCGTGTTAGCCACTAGACCAGCTAGCCACAATAAGATTCGTCCAACTAGGTATATTTCTACACCATAGGAAGGTTAGCACAGGCACCACTGTGACCACAAATGCAAGTTTTTACAGACGAATCTCCAGCTAGCGTGGCCGTGACGAACTCTAGCTCAAGTCCCTTCACTGCCGTCAACATGTGGCTAATGCGACGGGCTGGAGTTTTGAGACTCTCTGATTGCGGGTTCAATCCCAGCCGGGGTATGGTTTATCCTTAGCTATGACCATGACAAGGTTTCCTTGTTCTGATGCTCAGCACACCATGGTTTGGTTAAAAGTAGTGCTTAAGGTTACACCTGGCTCACTTTCTTCTTTATGGCTAAATGAAGTGAGCAGAGCTTTTGGCAAGGTACTCTTGATCTTGACTTGCAAGTTGCTCCCATTGGCTTGCACTCCCAGCAGGTCTCATCCTCCAGTCACCACTTAAGCTCATGAAGAACCTTTTGTGCAGGTATTCTTTAACTACTTTAAGCACAAAAATGTTTCTAAATAATTTTAGATGCCACTTTTGCTGGTTAGGTGGCACTTCTTTTTCCTTGCCTTCAAGCAAGATATTATATACTCTGGGTTTTGGAGATCACTTAGTTTTCATGAATACTAAATTCTACCTTGCTTCACTAGTTCCTAACCCAATAACTCACTATACATGCATAAAATGGACATATACAAAAAATGATACATTTAGTAGAGAAACCAAGAAAAACTCTTAATTTGAACTTTATCAATATTGTGTGAATGTACCACATGCACAAAACAGAAAAAAACAAACAAAATAATGAAAAAATATATAATTCAAATACAAAATGAAAGACATAATATTTACTGGTCAACAGCATAAACAAACCCATATGAAGACAATAAAAAGGGCCATTAAAATGAGTTGGTGAACAGCAACCGTCTTATAAGGTACTACCCCTCTGCCATGTGTGTGCAAAATGGAAACCTGTTAAATGTTATGTAATCTGGCAAAATTCCTTGTCATTTTCTTTCTGAGACACGAACACGTAAGATGACAAGTAAATCTTAGAAATTTCTCTCGACATTCGGTATACACTTACCTATACTTTCTCTTGTATTTCTTAAAAGCTTTTTTTTTTAACAAGTCGGCCGTCTCCCACCGAGGCAGGGTGACCCAAAAAGAAAGAAGATACCCAAAAAGAAAATACTTTCATCATCATTCAACACTTTCACCTCATTCATACATAATCACTATCTTTGGAGAGGCACCCAGATACAACAGTTTAGAAGCATATATAAAGATATACAACATATCCCTCCAAACTGCCAATATCCCAAACCCCTTCTTTAAAGTGCAGGCATTGTACTTCCCATTTCCAGTACTCAAGTCCGGCTATATAAAAATCACTGGTTTCCCTGAATCCTTTCACTAAATATTAAGCTTTTATCCCTGTAATATTTGCTATCTAGCTGCAGAGTCAAACCACCCTAAACCTTACATCCAAAAATTTGAAAGTCAATTTGCATATTGTATAAATTAACTCAAAACATTAATAAGATCACAAAACTGTTCATTCTCTTCATGAAGTGCATGAATGTTACTCAATTATTAGGTTATAGCCTCCTGTGTAAAATTGTGAGGAAAAATAGCATTAAATAAATGTAGTAACTACGCACAATATAACAAATAGCTGAAGAAACAGCTTTCAACAACAAATTTAAATTTAAAACCAAGTAATCATCACCGTAACTTACTGCGTTTTGCACTCTGTGATCGGCTGGGTATGTTGCCAGTGCGAAGCATGTGCTGAAGCCTCTCCACTTCCTCCATTGACCGAGCATTGGCTATGGCTTGACGAATGGCAGCTTGATCCTCTGCCGTCATTTGGCCTTTTAATACAAAGACAACAAATTTAGGTACCCAAGTTAAAAAATTATATAAAAGAGGCACCTAACAAATGAAACAAGTTATACAATACTTACACTTACAAATGAGGCAATTAGGAACCCATTACAGTACATAACCACTAAGCAGAATATGTATAAAACATAAACTTCATTTACACTATTGTCTTCTCATTACCTCAGTTTTTAAACTGATAACCCAAGAACACAACTTCATCATTATAATAATGATATATGATGCTGATACAATGAGGAATTGGACTCTTGTATTCAAAACATCCTTACATTTTTACAAATGTATAATTATGAATCTTTTACTTTGACCAGCAATAAAAACAAGATATTTTATACCATGCTCTGAAGGTTAGAACTTTCATACTTTGAAACTACTTAAACTAGAAAATAAAATTTCTAACCTAAAGTAGGTCGTGCATCAAGGATACTACCACCACCAGGCAAAAACGTTCTGGCTTTCTTTGCTTCCTTTTGAATCTCTTTACCCAATTTACTCTTGAAAAGTTTTTTTGCCATTTCTCTCTCCCTCAATCGCACCCGGCGGAAGTCAACCACGCGAACCTGACAGAACACAATAACATTTAATTATTTACTCACAGGCATGGGGAAAAATTAATAGACATGAGAATGTTTACTCAGCCTGGTAACAGACTGGGCCACAGGGGCACTTGAACCCCAAAACCCTATCCAGGTATACTCTACAACTAATAAAAGATTTTTTATCAATACTTCATCTACATGCACTGTGATGTTTTCTAATTTTCTTTTGCCTACCTGTATGTATGCTAGCTAAGGTATATATCCTGCTAATTCATTATCAGTTTGTAACCTAGAGAATGTGTGTAAGGCAATAACACCTGCTTACATTTGTCAGTGAAACCAACAAACATTTTCTAAATTAATGCTGAGTGTATCCTTGTTGAGTACTAAGCAACACATGAAGATTTTTTTTTTTTTTTTTTTGTGGGGGGGGGGATAAAATATTTAACATATGCAGGAGAGTGGTGAACAAACAGTGTTCTTATAAAATATACAGAACAACAGATGGAGAACAAATATTTGAACTTTTTGAGTAAAAATTATTAAACAAATGCAGGAAGGTAGGGTGTAAATATTTTAAAATGTTCTTATAGAATATGTAACAACAGTGGTGAACAAATATTTAAAATATTTTTACAGAATAATTAAAACATAAAAAGTACATCAACTGGCCTGCATAGCGATCACTTCTACACCGTAAGCGATCATCACTACAGCAACATCTACAGCCATACAGATGTTCAAAAACACTTGCAACTGCAACTTGTTGTCAGTCAGTCAATAGTTAAGAGGCAGAACCAAGTGTTGGAACTCAACCCTCTCAAACTCAAATAGACAATTACACCTGCTACAATTTTCTTACACCTACTCACTGCTACAATTTTCTTACATCTACTCACTGCTACAATTTTCTTACACCTACCCACTGCTACAAATTTCTTACACCAACTCACTGCTACAATTTTTCTTATACCTCTGCATTACAACAATTTAATATCCTTGCCAAAATAACTAGCTTAATCTTTCACACAATTAACTGATTCAGCATTTAATTTCTAATGAGGATTATTACTTTGAATACAATAAGGATATGGTTATATGCAAAAATATCTGACAAATGTAACTAGCATCTAAAAGGTTAATAATAGTAATGCAAGACATCGAAGATCCCTAAGCAACGCTAAAATGCACGTTTCCCCCAAAAAACTCTTATTAAAGTTGTGCTGTTGATTGGTCAACCTGTGGAAGTTTGTTGATGACATAAAGACGATAGTGGTCACGAGTGGTGACGGGGTTGCCCAGCAGGGAAACGAATTCCAGCCTCTTGAGCCCTGCCATGTTGTCCAGGTCTGCTAACTCCTGTACTAGGTTATTAGTCAGGTACAAGCACTGGAGATTTGGCACTGTCTCTGCTAGTGATTCTGAAATTCGACTAAAATAAAAAATAAAATTAATACTGTACTTGTATAAGTAAATCACTTATAACCCATGCCAAGAAATACCTGAGATCCGTCAAGATATTATATTATAATTTTTTTTATTAAAACATCAGCCACTTCCCAAGAGGCAGGGTGACCCGAAAAAGAAGAAATACTTTCATCATCATTCACTCCAAGATATGTGAGAAAATATATATAATATACCAATATGAAAATTAAGTTAACAACTTACGTGAGCAGACTTATAGTGATAAAAAAAAATGTTCTCAATATACTTGTCACATACAATTTGAATTTGTTTACTTACATCTATCATAAAGAAAAATACTATTAAATTTTTATTTTTAGTGGTGTAACCTAATTTGCATGGACCAGTCACCAAGATTTTCACTGGAGTGACAGTAGCAAGCAACAGTGTTGGCAAAATAACAGTGACAATTTTAATTTTACAATAGAAACAAGGTTTGATCTGGTAAGTCAGTTTTAGCAATACTGCAATATTGTATGCCAACCACATTGTCAAAACTTCACTGATCACCTAAAACAAACTATTTAAGAAGAGACACAATGAACAGCTTGTGATAAGTACTAACATATGCATGTGGCATGATGCTATGCAAAAATGCTATGCACGTAAAGGGCCCGAAGATCTGGAATTCATTGCCAGAACACACTAAAGGACCACTTAAGGCCCTACTTAAAAATCACCTCATCACCCAAAATTAACCAGACAAACACTTTACTTAATACCTATCCGTAACTCAAAAGCTACTCAAAAAACTTCTAAATAATTTAAGACTGCTCAACTATTTGATAATTTACTTCAAACTTAAAATTATTTCAAATTCATTATTGTATATTGCTGATGATTGTTTAACCATTTACTCATTACCTCAAACTTATAAGTGTTTCACTCTCATTGTTTTAAAATGTACTAAATTGTAATACATGTACTGCATATTGTAAATTGTTTTAAATTGTTCTAAATGGTAATACTGTACTTTTTATAAGCTATATCAAAACTGTAAATATTCTGTATCAAATTAGACTTATTAAAGCCATATAGCATTACCTAATAGAATACTCAATTCTCTTGTACTCATTGTAACTCATCTAATGACCATATGAACTGTTATTGCCTTATTAATCTTAAGTAAATTTTAAGTTTGCCCGAAATGCTACGCATGCAAAGGGGCTTCTGGCATGTACACCTAACTATTATATTCCTTCGTACAACCATGTATCACGTCAAAATAAAATTATTATTATTATTATTATTATTATTATTATTAGAAAGTTAAACATTGAAGACATCAAAAGTTAACAGATGTAAGATCAGCAATTCACTAGTTTCTTGCTGTTGTTGGCACAGGTGCAATCTTCCATGTACAAAATAAATACTTTTCAAAGGAACTTTATTGCATTTTTTATTACCTTCTCAATATAGCATGACACATTTTGATTTTAGTACATTCTACTTCTCTAAAGTTTTGTATTTTTTATGTATTTCCAACAGAAAAACTGGCTGAACAAAGACAGAGGATCTCAAAAAGCTGGACAGTTTCCTTCTACAAGTGCCAGATAAGGTAGGTTATGCTCCTGCAATACATACAACTTGGTTGACCAGGTAGTCAGCAGGGAAACCTGGTAACCTTAGGCCAGGCTACAGGGGTACAAGAGCCCTTGAAACTGGTCACTGGTAAATTATTTTTGTTTATGAAAGAATTAGTCTCAATCCAGTATACACAATTTTCTTACCCCCACCCCCTTCCTGCCCCACATCACAAGACTAATCTGTAATACATCTGTGACAGGTTCCAAGGATTCTTCTACTCTCACAGCCTAGCTCCCACATTGGTTGCTTCATCAACCAGGCTGTTTCTGCTAGTAGCCTAGAGGCCCACACAATCATCACAACTAGGGATGGGACAATACTAATTTTTTTTTTTTGCCTACACCAACAACAATACAGCCTCTCCTCACTTAACAACGGAGTTCCATTCCAAAGACCACGTGAGGAGCATACTATAATGGTAGTGGGTTTGTGTCAACCATCTTTGATATTGTTTTAATGTCACCTTTGCACTATTTATAACACTTTTAGCACATTTTTAAATGTTTATACAGTAGTGTACTGTATATTGTAATAAACAGAATAGAGGAAATCAGCTCTTAATATACATTATTTAGGTATGCATACTGGTCAGAGAGCCCGTCATAAGTCTGAGTCGTCGGTAAACGAGTACACTGCTAATTGAGGAGAGGCTGTATACAGTACACTACTGTAGAGACATTTAAAAATATACTAGAAATGTTATAAATGGTGCAAAGGTGGCATTAAAAAAATATCTAAAGATGGTTGACACAAATTCACTACCAGTTTAGCACAATCCTCACTTAACAACCAATTCACTTACTGACTTACTCTTAGGAACGGAACTCCATCGTTAACCCTTTGACTGTTTCGGCCGTATATACATGTCTTACGAGTCAGTGTTTCAGACGTATATATACTCAATAATTCTAGCAGCTTCAAATCAAGCAGGAGAAAGCTGGTAGGCCCACATGTGAGAAAATGGGCCTGTGTGGTAAATGTGCACTGTATAAAAAAAATCCCGCAGCACACAGTGCATAATGAGAAAAAAAACTCCGACCATGTTTTTTTATTAAAACGCCAAATTTGAGGTGTATTTTTGTATTGTATTTATGGTTGTATTCTCGTTTTCTTGGTCTCAATTGATAGAATGGAAAACATGTTACAGAAATATAGATGATTTTGATTAGTTTCACGATGAAAACGACCTTGAAATTGAGCTCAAAGTAGCAGAAATGTTTGATTTTTACCAATGTTCAAGAGTAAGCAAATCACACCACACGTCCAATACACGTCAACTGGGGAGTCTAATATTCTTTCACTAGTGCACTGATATTATTTATACCATTTTTACAATAATGCAGTATTCTGCATAACAGTAAATCTTCTATTTTTTGTGAATAAAAAATCAAAATAGAAACCAAGGGTAATATAAGAGGGGCCTGGAGACATGACTAATGAACAGAGGATATGTTATTTTAGTGCCAAGAATGTCTGCATTGTTTATTCTAGATCCTATTTTGAAATTTGTGTGAAATTGGCGAAACTGCCAATTTCTGACCACTTTAATGGGTAGTTGAAATTGGTAAATGGGCAGTTTCTTGTACTCAATGGAGTTCTAAAGAAATAGCTATGAGTTTGGTTGACTGGAACAATGGAATTGGCCGAAAATAAGGCTCAAAGTGGGCAAAATCGCCGATGAGTATATATCGCCGAGATCGCTAACTTCGCGGGAGCGTAATTCCATGAGTTTTCGATCAAATTTTGTACTTTTGGTGTCATTAGCATTGAGAAAAGATTCTCTATCATTTCATTAGAAAAAAAATTATTTTTTTTTCCAAAAATTTTGCAACATAGAATGAGTTTCAGAAAAGGGCTTGTGACAGTCAAAGGGTTAAGTGAGGAGAGCTGTACCAGCATCTATGACATTTATTTCTATTAACTGTTACTACAGGGAAACACCTGACAATATGTTGTAGTGATTCCAAGGTATATACATTTCAAATTATTGAAAATACTATTAAATGCATGTATAAACAATCGTGAACAAGGAAAACATACAGCATTTGCAAAAAGACAGCTAATAAGTCATCAAGAGCTTACCTATGTAATGAGCACAAGAGCCTTAAATTCTACTTACTACATTCCATGAATTACAGATGGTGCCTAATTAGAATGAGTTCCAAACATTACTGGAAAGTAAATACAAGAGAAATACAGTACAGTCTCTCCTCACTTAACGACGAAGTTCCATTCCTAAGACCATGTCGGTAAATGAATTCGTCACAAAGTGAGGAGCATACTATAATGGTAGTGGGTTTGTGTCAACCATCTTTGATATTGTTTTAATATCACCTTTGCACCATTTATTACATTTCTGGTATACATGTACGTATTTTTAAATGTTTATACAGCAGTGTACCGTATATTGTAATAAACAGAAAAGAGGAAATCAGTTCTAATATACATCATTTAGGTATGCATATTGGTCAGAGAGCCTGTCGTAAGTCAGAGTCATCGGTATGTCACTAAGTGAGGAGAGGCTGTACATACTGCACTTACACAATTCTGTTGTTATTTAAAAGCAAGGTTTTAAGCCTCTTTAGAAGTGGAAATCCATCAAGCTTCCGGATATCATTATCACTAAAGTCGATGGTATCAAACTGGTCTAGAGTTGCACCAAGATTTTCAATAACAGGAATTTTATAACCTGAAAAATAGATAAGAGTGTTAAAAAAGAAAATAAAAATACAGTACTTGAACAATACTTGGAAATCTTTACTGAGGAAACATTTAGCAGCCAGTAGCTTCTTCAGTCCAATACAGAGGAGAAGAACATTGGAAGATGAGGAGAAGGCAGTAATCAGTCCCTCAGCCTGGAGTTGGTTGATGGACTGAACACATCGACTCCAGGCTGAGGGGCTGATTACCTCATTCTCCTCATCATCTTCCACTGTTCTTCTCTGTATTGGACTGAGGAAGCCACTGATTGGCAAAACATTACCTCAATAAAGATTGCCATTCTTCAACTTACCAGTTTTCTGAACCATTTATATCATAAAAATACATTAGCTATATATATTGAGCAAGCTGAAAGACTATCCAGTTGTAAATCGCATAAATTCAAAGTACTGTATAAAAGGTAATCCGTTTCTCCAAATAACCTCTACTATTGGAATTATAATATACAATATATATACATATCTACATTTCCCTTCAGTAACATTTTCTCCCACAAAAAAACTGTCAAGCCATGCAGAACTGTGGTCTTGAAACATAGTAATAACATGGCACTGATGCTTACATTAGAACATAAGAAGGAAGGAATACTGCAGTAGGCCTGCTAGTCCATGCTAGATAGGTCCAATTCACACCCACTTAAGAGCACTGCATCAGGCCTACTGGTCCAAGCTACAGGTCCAAGTCACACTCACTTAAGGAAGAAGCACTGCAACAGGTCTATTAGCCCATGCTAGGCAGGTTCAACTCACACCCACTCATGTACTTGTCTAACCTAATTTTAAAGCTACAAAAGGTTTTAGCTTCAATGATGTTACTGAATATCAAAATGGTATACAATACCGACAAGTCGGTAAGTAAGACACACAGGCAACATTTAGGCATCTTTATTCCGAATTGTTTTGCCTACACAGTAGGCTTCTTCAGTTGAGCACAGAAAGTAGGCAGCAGCAGTAGAGATGTGAAGACGATGTAATCAGTCCATCACCCTGAGAGATCACATCCCTCTTGTCAGTATTGTAAACCATTTTGTTATTCAATGTTAGATACTACAACACAATGGCATCTTGGTACAGAAGAAGGAAACACCTTGGACAACTTTTTCAAGAGAGAATGGTTGGATCTGAGAGGGATGTGATCTGTCAGTCATTACATTCTTTCTTCTACTATTCTACACCTCTCCTGCCAGCAGTATGTAAGTCTCTACACTGTTGCTTGTAGATGAATGGTTCAGAGAACCGACACATTGATAAATTAGACACATGTGCAACTTTTGGGTATCTTTATTGAGGAAATGTTTCGCCACACAGTGGCTTCATCAGTCCATACAAAGGAGAAACTTGAAGAACAGGAGGAGAATGAGGGAATCAGTCCCTCAACCTTGAGTCGATGTGGTCAGTCCATCAAGATTGATGGACTGACCACATCGACTCAAGGTTGAGGGACTGACAACCTCAAATCTACATCTTCAAGGGTGATGGACTGATTACATCATCTTCACACCTCTACTGCTCCAGCCTACTTTCTGTACTCAACTAAGAACCCTACTGTATAGGTGAAACGTTTCAGAATAAAGATGCCTAACTGTTGCCTATGTATCTTACTTACCAATGACGTTACTTGGGAGTTTATTCCAATCATCCGTAACTTTATTACCAAACCACTGCTTTCCTATATGCTCTCTAACTCTAAAATTTTCCAACTTGAATCCATTGCTGCTATAAAACCAGATCTAACCCCAATGGAAATAAGACACTTTGACATTTTTTGGTTATCCTGGGTAATCTACACATGTGCTATTATGTATGATAATTTGTGTAACTATTTATGTGTACTAATACCTGAATAAACTTTCTCAACCTATCTTACCCCACTTAGTTTACTATTCTAATTAGTAATATTAGTATGTAAAAGAATTAAGAAACTTTCGCAACATTTAAGGATATTTATTGTGGAAACGTTTCACCAACAAGCGTCTTCCTCGGTCGAGTACAGGCAAGAATAGTGGAAGATGAGTAGTAGATTGAAGTAATCAGTCCCTCAGCCTTAAGTCAATGTACTCACCTAGTTGAGGTTGCAGGGGTTGAGTCCAAGCTCCTGGCCCCTGTGACCATAATGGAAACAAGTAAATTACTTTTTTGGGGGTTATCCTTGATAATTTACACTATGTATGATAACTGTAATTATGTGTACCTGACCCTAAATGAACTTACTTATTTTCTCTGAGGGACTGACTACCTTAAACTACTACTCATCCACTATTCTTCTCTGTACTGGACTGAGGAAGCCACATGTTGGATAAACATTTCTTTTATACACTTGTCGACATTAAGTACTAATAAGTAGCTTGTAGCAAAAATTTAAATATAAAAATTCCATTACCTCTGAGAATCAGTTCTCTATCCCGTAAAGGATTAATATGTTGTGCAGACTGAAGGATAAGTTCAGGCGTAAGTTTCACCATCTTCTCTAACTTACTAACACCAACACTTGCTGCAAAATTGTCTTTTTTTAGACAATTTTGTTAAATTTATTCTGGTAGCGGCAGCAGCAACAGCAGCAGCAGAGTCCAACAAGATAAGTAAAGTTTGTTTACATCACCAGAGTCAACTAGTATGATGGTTCTTTTCAAATTCAAATTCAAAGTTTATACTCTATAAGTATTACAATGCTGAGTTTACAGAATTTGGTTATTGTGTGGTTTACATGTAGTAAAATAATAATTACAGAGTGTACCATTAGAACACCTAGCATGGCTAGATAAGATAAGATTTCGTTCGGATTTTTAACCCCGGAGGGTTAGCCACCTAGGATAACCCAAGAAAGTCAGTGCGTCATCGAGGACTGTCTAACTTATTTCCATTGGGGTCCTTAATCTTGTCCCCCAGGATGCGACCCACACCAGTCGACTAACACCCAGGTACGTATTTGCTGCTAGGTGAACAGGACAATAGGTGTAAGGAAACGTGTCGGAATTTCCACCCGCCGGGAATCGAACCCGGGCCCTCCGTGTGTGAAGCGGGAGCTTTAGCCACCAGACCACCGGGCCATTTCGGACAGACTTAAATTAAATCTTAAGTTTAAAATATTACAAAATTATGATGAAAGTTGTTTTTTTTTTTTCGCCGGTATTCTCCCAGCCCGGGTCTTTTCCAAGTAATGGTGACCCGGCCTTGGCTCCCTATCTGGGGAGTGTCTCGAGACTTAAGTCTCCAATGGGAGGAGGTACAAGTACCTCCTCATCTTTGGGACCAAGTGTCCCCAGGCCTAGCCACATTCCCCGCCCTCACGGGGCTCGTAGGGAGAAGCTAGGCCTCTGGTCTGCCATCTACCCCGCCTCAAAGGAGTTCATGGGGATGGCAGTCTTATGAGCTGCAGATGGTAACAAGCTCAGGCTGATGAAAGTTGGTATTATGGCTAAGTGACTAAGTACTAGTTGTGAGTTTAACAATGTGAATGCTTTTGTTTTGGCACAATACATAGTTTCAGTATTGGAGTATCACAGGCCAACTTATGACTAGTTAGGATTCATTATTTTAAGATTGAGATTAATATTTCTGTTTATGGTCAAATGGGTGAGTGAGTGTAAGTGTGAACCACCAGGTGGTATTCGTGTAATTAGTTGACAGGGTGTATCAGGGAGATAAGATGTTTTCTGATGGTAGTTTTGAAGGTGATGAATGTGTCTGCAGTTTTAGAATTTTCAGGTAGGGTGTTCCAGATTTTTAGGGCCTTTGACATACATTGAATTTTTGTAAAGGTTTAGTCGGACACGGGGAATGTCATAGAGATGTTTGTGTCTGGTGTTATGCCTGTGGGTTCTGTCACAACTAGTAATTTTAGCATACATACAGAGGTACAAAAAAATACAGGTAAGAGCAGCATGCCAAAGCCACTTATATGCATAGCATTACGGGCTGGCTTAAAATTGACTTAAGATTAACTAAGCAATGATGAAATCAGTGATAAAACATTATTGTAAACAGATAACAATAAAGCACAAATGAGTATTACAAAGACAGGTCATATGGTTGCATGCATTGTTGTACATTCAGTAGGATGGAGTATTCTGTTAGGTAGTGTATTTAGGTTTAACATTTATGTGATATAATTGTGAGAAACATTTAAGATATACAATTTATAAGGTTCAGTTATTCAGTATTTATTTGGTTTTGGGTGAGTAAGTGATCTTTGAGAAGAGACTTGAATTTATAAACAGGTAGTGTTTCTTTTATATTTACAGGTAATGAATTCCAGATTTTAGGGCCTTTTATGTGCATTGAGTTTTTGCATAGTGTGAGATGGACACGAGGAACATCAAAGAGTGATCTGTGCCTTGTGTTATGGTCATGTGTTCTGTTGAGGTTGGCAAGGAGATGTTTGAGGGGAGGGTTAATATCAGAGTTAAGTGTTCTATGTATGTAATAGGTGCAGTAATAAGTATGAATGTTTTGTATGGTGAGTAGGTTGAGTGTTTTGAATATTGGTGGAGTGTGCTGCCTGTAGTGAGAATTTGTTATCATTCTAACTGCAGCCTTTTTTTGGGTAATTAGTGGTCTGAGATGGTTAATTGTTGTTGAGCCCCATGCACAAATTCCATAGGTGAGATAGGGGTAAATAAGAGAGTGATAAAGGGCCAGGAGGGTTGACTGTGGAACATAGTACCGTATCTTCGATAATATGCCTACAGTCTTGGAAATTTTCTTAGAAATTTGTTGTATATGTGTATGAAATTTGAGTCTATTATCAAGGTGGATTCCTAAGAATTTTCCCTCTGTTAGCTTTGTGATAGGTGATCCGTTTATCATTATGTTAAGAGGGACATCTGTAGCTCTGTTACCAAACTGAATGAAGTAGGTTTTGTCAATGTTTATTGTAAGTTTGTTAGTCCTCATCCAGGTAGATATTTTCTGTAATTCGGTGTTTACATTATTATTATTATAATCAAGGGGGAAGCGCTAAACCCGGAGGATTATACAGCGCCTGGGGGGGGGATGTGGAAGGCATTCGGGCTTAATTCGGGGAACTGGAGCACAGATCCAATTCCCTAAATCAAGAGCCCCTCGGTGTTTACAGTATTGGCTAGCGTGACTGGGCTCGGGTGAGAGAAGACGTATGTAGTGTCATCTGCAAAAAGTGTGGGTTTGAGTAATTGCGAAGCATTTGGTAGGTCATTTATGTATAGGAGAAAGAGAAGAGGGCCAAGGACACTTCCCTGTGGGACACCAACTGTAATTGGTTGAACGGAAGAGCTTGCCCCATTTGCGTACACATATTGGCTTCTGTTTGCTGAGGTATGACTTGAGGTAGTTGAGGGAGTGCCCTCTAATACCATAATGTGACAATTTTACGTGGAGCAAGTCATGGTCAACTGTATCAAAAGCTTTACGTAAGTCAATGAAGATCCCCAGTGGGACTTCTTTTTTCTCTATTGCAGTGTATATATGTTCTAGCATGTGTATAATAGCATCATTAGTATTTTTATTAGGCCTGAATCCAAATTGGCAGGGGTTGAGAATGTTTTGGGAGATGAGGTAGGAGTAGATTCGTTTCTGAATTAATTTTTCGAAAATTTTTGAGAGAGGGTGTAAATTGGATATTGGCCTATAGTTATTCAACTCTGTTTGGTCTCCTCCTTTATGGATCGGGGTGACCCTTGCTATTTTGAGAGCTGTAGGGAAGGTGGAGGATTCAATGGATTTGTTAGTGTTGCAATGATTGGTGATAGTACTTGTGGCACTTTTTTGTATATAAAGGGTGGTAAGGTATTTAAATCTCCTGCCTTGTTTTTTAGTGCGTTGATAATAAGGGAGACTTCGTATGGGTTAGTCGGAGCTAGGAACAGTGTGTTCGGGTAGTTGCCAGAGAGGTAGTCATTTGGTGGGGTATCTGAGCTTGGGATTTTATTGGCAAGGTTTTGTCCTATAGTGGAGAAGAAATCATTGAGTCTGTTTGCTGTTTCTGTTGGTGGGAGTTGGGGTTCATCTGATTTTGCTAATTTTATTTCGCTATTTCGTGATATCTTTTTTGTTCCCAGAATTTCTGATAGGGTCTTCCAGGTCATTTTTATATCACCTCGTAAGTTGGATAATCTGTTCTCATAATACAATTTTTTTGCCCTTCTTATCAGGCTGGTTAGGATTGACGAGTAATGTTTTGTTTGGTCTCTGGTTATGTGACCCATTCTGTACTGTTTTTCGTATCGGTGTTTTGTATTTATGGATTTGAGAATGCTGGGTGTTAGCCAGGGACTGTTCAGTCTCTTAGCTGTCATCTGTTTAGTTTTTTTTAGGGCAGTGCTTGTTATAGACGTATTGGGTCTTTTTTAGAAAATTATTAAAACATTCGTCAATATCTGTATAGATTTCTAGCTCAGTGTGCCAGTCAATGTTTGTTACTGCTGCTGTGAAGTTATTAATGGCTGCCTCATTGTGAAGTCTGAAGGTGACTTTAGTAGTGTCTTGGGGTATTTTACCAAGAGTTGTTATGAGGAGGCCTGGTCACAGACCGGGCCGCGGGGGCGTTGACCCCCGAAACTCTCTCCAGGTAAACTCCAGGTAGTGGTCTGTGGTATTATCTGTGATTATGCCTGATTTTAAAGGGGATATGGTGTTGGTCCAGATGTGGTCAAGTAGGGAAACACTAGTCTCCGTAACTCTTGTAGGTTTTGTTACTGTTGGTAGCAACATGCAGTTACTCATTGTGTTTGTGAATTCAGTAACGTGTGGGTCCTGGTCTTGCAGGAGATTTATATTGAAGTCACCTGAGAGTAGTAAGTGATCTTTGTTCATGCGTGCATCAGTTATCATACTTCCTAGGTTTTGACTAAATTGACTATCAAGAAAGCGTTTTAGGTCAAGCTTAATATTGGAGTTTAAGGTCCTGTAGATGTAGATTGCACAGTAGTAAGTGTGGATGTACTGAACAGGGAGTAAGTTTAGATCTATGAAGAGTGGGAGGGGGGGGGTGTTGCCAGGGATGGGATTTAGTGATTATTCTTACTGCAGCTTTTTGTTGGGTTATTATTGGCTTTAGGTGTGTTGCTGCAGTTGATCCCCAAGCACAGATAGCATAGGTGAGGTATGGATATATAAGTGAGTGGTATAGTGTGAGAAGGGCAGTTTGCGGCACGTAGTATCGTATCTTGGAGAGGATCCCAACCGTTTTGGATACTTTTTTGGTTATGTGTTGGATATGGGTGCTGAAGTTCAGGTTGTTGTCGAGGTATAGGCCTAGGAATTTGCCCTCATTATGCCTGGCAATTAGAGTGTTGTCGATCTTAATGTTAATTTGCGTATCTCCTGCTCTGCTACCAAACATAATGTAGTAGGTTTTGTCAGTGTTAAGCGTAAGTTTATTGGCTGTCATCCAAGTCGATATTTTGATCAGCTCCTCATTAACAATGGTGTTGAGGGTGGCAAGATTAGGGTGAGAGATGACATAAGTCGTGTCGTCAGCAAAGAGAATGGGGTTCAGGTGTTGAGATACGTTTGGAAGATCATTGATGTATATGAGGAAGAGCAGGGGACCAAGGACACTTCCCTGCGGAACTCCAGTATCAAGTGGCTGTGTTGTTGATGCTGTGTCTTTAA